GATCACTCATTCATTGCATAAAATAGTAACTGCTAGATAACAACTACAAGTCTTCCAGAGCGTTTTCTGATGTTTTCATGGTCTGCGAAAATGAAATATGCGGCTCACGGCGGATTAGCTGTAAATACCTTCTCTCCTATATAGGCTGCGGTCGTAAAAACAGTAAAAGTTTATCCTGGCTTGATGCTCGGGCTGCTTAGGTTAACGGAAGGGGAGATACCTTCTTCGCTCACGACATCGAAAAAAATGCGGAAAAATGGCAGTGACTCAAAAACTGGGGATGCTGATTTCTGTAATATTATCCTCGTAGTCTGGTAAGTAATACTTCTGGTCCTGATTACCCTTGTTAGTTTCGTATTTTATTGAAGGCTTTATCGTAGAGGGAACTGGACGATCTTCCTTTTAGCTTCAACAATCGTATATGCTCTTGTTATTGTGGTAGGAGAAACTACTTCACATTTTCTCATATATTGATTGCAATGATTGGACAGTACAACGCGTCAGTGAAAATTCTGATTTTTATTCTGAAATTATCAGGAGTTCGTATACACACCTTCCGCTTATGTAACGTTGATCGACCAGATGATCGGTTGCCGCACCAGGCCTTGGAATCCGCAAAGGGAGCCGATTGTTCCAAAAGAGGTGCTAGCATCATCCATTGTGTATCGCACTTGTCTGATCTACAAAATTTTGGACGAAAGCGGTATTACTTTGAAGTTCTGAACATAAACTATGCTTTAGATGCTCACGTTACCACCCATGACTCGAGAAGAGTTATTCATGTCACGTGCTATGGAGAACTGTGCTGTGAAGTCTGTGATTGCTGGGGTGCTCGGATTCGGAGTTGGTATGAATCACTTTTTATTGTGAAACTATTTATGGTAATGGCTAAGTGGGCGGGTGTAGGATAGCGAGAAATGCGCGCTACTGCACACACGTAGTTCAGGGTCTGGGTGCGCTGCTACTGCACACACGTAGTTCAGGGTCTAAGTTCTAGATCCAGTTGTGCGCTGGTCAAACAAGCTCACCATTCCATTGGAGCCTTTATAATTAACACCAAAACATTAGTCTGGGTGGATATGTATACAAAGGCTGTTTTCCAGGAGTAGTCATCCAGACTGCATACTAACTTTAGAGTCATTAGGACTCTCAGCGTAAACCGAGTGTGTGGTGTACTCTGCAAACTGGACTGATGAACGCCGAACGTTTTACCTTCTTTTATAGGCTTGTATATGAAAA